GTTCTTATAGACCGCTGTTAAGAACTGATTCTCAGCGAACTGCGAAAGACTCTGTTGAATGACAAGTTTGATTCTTCGCAGGGGTGCTGCAACGGACATCTTTGAGCAAATTGTACGCTGGCGCAGTGTTTTCAGTCAGAGGCAGGCACGAACGAGTCTGAACGAGCTACAGGTTCGTTCGGGCCTTTTTTTACTAGACGTTGCTTAACCGCAGAGCTAATTCTGCTGATATCAAGTGGAATAGACTATAAGTACCTTCAAAGCCAATTCAATGCTATCCAGACAAACAAGGAATCGTGGCGCAAAACACAGTCAATGACGTCTATAGAACGTGACAGTTCGAGGGTCGCGGCCACAGTCGTGGCGAGAAAGGGTTTGCTGTAAAAACTCGCGATTTCAATCGCGTCGGTAGCAGTAGGCTCAGAAGAAGCAACGCGTAAAAAATAGGAATAGTCGTCTCAGCTCAGGAGTTGTAATCGTGTAAACGATGACCTGATAGTGGCGCGTTGCAGCGGGCTGTTTCGTCGTGCCTGACAAACATTTCAGATTCTCAAGTCTTTTATTTCAGACAGACCGTCGGTTCAAAACGGAAGGTGTGAAAGAATCATCGCCAAACAAAGCAGCCATCAACTTGTTTATAGCGCATAATAAATTCATCTAGTTGATATTTGAGGGACGAAGTACATAGTACATAAATAAAAATGTCTCGGGAGAATTTTCTTTTTGAACTGTTTACTTCTAAATAATTTCCAGGATGTGCAAGGCGTTTTTTGTGCTTTTGCGGCTTTCTTTTCATTGCAAAAAAAAAAACGAAATTACGATGAAGCAAGAACGATCATGCAAGTCCAAGGCATTTGCTTCTTTAGAGAATCATACATGGAGGAGGTATTTCAAACACTATCGCTTGTTGGATATGAACTCCGTTGAAATAAACTCTGTTGATTTTTTTTTATGGCACACTGAGTTGCATCCTTGTTCCACACAGACACAGAGGCCGAGGATTAAAAAAAGTATATGGAAAGTTCATTGTCTGTTATGATATAGATTTATAAAGGCTAGCACGTCTGCGTGCAAAACACAGAAATGTAAATTTACTGTAGGTTCGTGCACGTTCATCAGCGATTCACAAAAAAGTGAACAGCCCCTCGCATTTCTTCTTTTACTTTACATCGCTCGTATCCAGTACATCCAGCGGCGGGCACAACTCGACACGCACGCTATGAACTGATGGGCCGGATGGACTGCAATAGAAGCTTTGCACTAGCACAGACTGATTGGTAGGCCCGTACCTACGATACCATTACCTGGTCCACGAGCTACGAAGCCAATGAAGTTTCTTGTATTACATAAAAATAAAGCCACCAACAGTAAAAGAAAATCATCATTAGGATAAAGTGCTGTTATTAGTGACAGCAATGATGATTATAACATTTATTTTTTGTTGTATCATTGACAAGCCAAATAGGTGCTGCTGTTGTGGTTGTTTTTTTCTGTTGACGCGATGCGGTGCGTTATTAGGATCCGTGGAAAATAACCGAAGCATCACTGGATACTTAGTTTCTTGTCCTTTTACCGTTCTCGATCGAGCGCCAGGGTTGTTGTCTCAGTTTCGAGAGCCGTGGAAAAATTCGCCCGTAGTTATTCTATGTGTTGCGTTACAGGTGCATATAACGCGAGAGGCAGCTGGCAACAGTTGCAGCGGTTTCACTGAGAGAATGCTCCCATAGTACTCCTGCACAAGAAGACGAAGGCAACAAACGCGTATAGACGGGTCTTCGACGCCACGATACGACGAAAATTCGACTACCGATGCTACGGTTCATCTCCAGACGCTTGCCCACTTGGGTTGATGACCACTACGCTGCCACCGCAGCCGCTACCGCTACTACGACAAAAAGACATTATTTTAAAATGAGATGTCATTATCATTACTTTATTTGTTTTTTTTTTACACGCATCATTATTATATTCTCATTCCAACGTAATGGATACAACTTCTATTATTATGGCTTGTCGAGCGAGTTTGTTGTTGCTAAAAAAGCTTGCCCCCCGTTTAGGCCGCATCACGAGCCCCGTTCTAGTTGTCCGACAATTTGCTAGCCTGCGTTGTACTCTGAAGTTGCGCAGCTTGAAAGCGTTCTAGTTTTGACCGCAAAATCACTTTACCAGCAGCGGCCGAACAGGGAAAAAGAAGTGATGCAAGGCGACGACGGCAACCGCTCAGAGGGAGACGTCAGAGGTGGAGGTGTCGGGCCGTCAAACGCTGATCGGAGCATCTAGCAATCATAAAGAATAAAGAGAGATAAATATTGCAAAGTGAATTTGGCGATAGTAAATAAATCGTTTTCAGCTTTTTGTGCACTTCTTTTGCTATCCATCTTAGTCCATTTTTACTAGCGGACAAACGAGCAAGATGGACTGTGCTAGTCCTTAATGGTACAGCTCCTCAAAAACCTTTGTCAAGTTCAGCTGGAAGTAATTTTGGCTTATGAGAATTTTATTCGTAGCTATAGCAGTCGACCAGGGCAAAACGCAAGTACCGAAGTACGTTAGTAAAACTAATGAGGAGATAACATAATAGTACCTAATGTCAAATAGAAGGCCTTTAACTTAAGTGAACTACGTTTCCATTTGATGGTAGCGTACTTGTAGTAGATTCAAATGGCTGGCCAACAAAAATGAATGACTTACGGATACATCGCTTGTTCTGTTAGTTTGCCATGCCATGCTGACTGTGTTTACAGATATCGAGATGTGCCTTTTAGGATTAACTATTCTGCTTTATCACTGAAAATAATGAAAATCAGTGAATTTCGGTTCGAGGACGACCTCATCAGCTGATGCCACCACTATGTGAGGGGGCATACCTCGATATGTGTATTTCTTTCTACGATGCCCATTTATGAAGCAGTCACCGAAACTGGCATGTTAGCACACAAAATCGTCCGGTTTGACCTAAAGTAAATTTTGTTTCTTCCATTTAGAAAAACGGTTGCGATATACTCACAAGTAAGTACCTCCACTCTCCCAGTTCAAGTGGATAATGAAGGAAAAGTGCAGTCTTAACTGTTGACAAGCACGGGATCATTTGAGTCTGCTATCATTAAAAGTGTATTCATGCGCGCAGTGCGACAGCTATTCTAAACTGTCGGCCTAGCGTGAAAGCAGAAGACAGGCAAATGGCCTATGCAGTTCTCAGTCCTGCAGGACCGCTCTGTCGCGACACATAACAGATCAAACTGTTTCGATTTCCCAGGATAATTTGTTCATCCGTTTATTTGCTGTCGATTATTTTATTCAATGGCCAGACAGATCACGCTGCAGTGCATGCATTAGTTCCTATCGGTGATGTTGGCACCCGTAGCTTGTCGTTGCGATCTAACCCAAAAGTGTTCAACGCCGGATGGTTGCGCCGTTTGCCGATAGACAGGCATTCCAGCGGTCCCGTTGGAATATGACAAAATAACAATTCGAGAGTTATTGGAGAAGTTGAGGCCTGTCCCATTTCGGTCTGGTGACCTGTGCCATTTGAGCGACTAGGTACAGCGAACCTAGTCTAGTAGGCAAAGCGCCTTTATCCGTTATGTCGCACCAGTGCCTCTCTGCATAAAATCACGACGAACACGAGGCTGTGAGGCAAATTTTACAGTCTCCCGATTAACTGTCAATGGTATATCAAAAAATCGTTAACACTTAGTAGACAGCGGCGGGCAGCTGTAGAAGTTGGTAACGCTTATTGTCTATCGTAGCAAAGCGCGAATAAATGTAGCGCAGTGGGGTCCCCAGTGGAAGATATTAAACAAAGTACCTATGAGGATCTCACGCCTATATACATATTCCATTTTAAAAGATGAACCTTATAATTGAATACTGTGCTTCTGGAGGCAAAGCAATAAAGAAACGCTCGCGCGATGGTTATTGCCCCCTAAGTTAAATAGTACGGTCAAGAAGAATCGAGATAAATAAATGTTTCGCTTTTTAGATCGCGAACTACGCTAAAGCAAGATGCATTCGCAATTTATTTCGAAAGCCCTTTGAAATACTTCCTATGTATTTGTAATATGGCTTATATTTGAATCTGGGCCCTGCTTTGTTAACATCGTTGTCGGACAGTCCTTTACCGTGGACTATATATATCCTATTATAAATGCCTGAACACCAAACTACTTGTTTGTAATATACATAATAATAAAAGTCATGTACACTGTGTTATACAAAACGCGAAAAGCCAGCAGTAACCGAATTAAGAGTTCTATCTGCCAGCTACAAGCAACGTAACCATGGAGATTTCGAAATTATGAAGCGTCGCAATTGAGTCGAAATATTATCCCCGGTCAAACCTAGCTCCTAGATAGCCATCGAAGGGAAAGCAACTAGCTCCCTGTAAATACAATTGCCCCTCGGTAAATAATACGATATAAAGAAAAGGTTCTCCATCGCGCAGTACCTCATAACAATAATAAAGTATTTCTATCGCTTTTTTCTTGAGTCCATAATTAGTTGTAGCATAGGGAGCCGGCTCGAATACACAAACAATAAAAAATGGCGAGAGTATGAAATGTGACAAAAGAATATATATGCGATTTGATAGTATTATTAAACGACCTGTAATCGAGTACGCTAACTTCATCGATCTAAAGAACAGAAGCACCGCTACAAAAATGATGCATTATAAGAGATGCCATGAGTCTACCTTGGTTTACCGTTCCACTGCAAACAACAAGTGCCGCCACGGTTTTTGCCTGAAAGCACTGGGCGTATGTGACCAACACTGGACTATAATTCTAACTAATTTCCTGCAGAGATAATAAAAAAACATCCCTCAGGGATCTTTAAAATGGCTACTTAATCGTTTGGTGGGTTTCGTTGCCTAACAGACCAGATCCGCTCTCCCATTAGACTAGGTGGATATATTCGGGACTCGACAATCATAGGAAAACATAATAAGATATCCATAGTTTTAGTTATATCTGAATAGCCATATGTTTACTGTAATTTACCGTAGAGTTGCCTTTGAGCTTGCGGAGAAGTCTGGTGAAACATTGAAATGATTTGTTGGTAGATGCCCTCCATTCTACGGCCCATCACATGGCACGAGGGCAGGCATGCGATTACACGAGCCCCGCCTCAACACGAACCAAGACACTCGAGCACGTTACGTTCATGGCAGTGATTCAAGTTTTTTTTTTTCGACTTTAGGCTATTTTGAATAGTTTTTTTTTTTGAAAATCACTAACGGCAGTACGAAATTAGCCACTGAATTCTATTACAGGTGACACAATTTACTCCGATGTCCCCTGTGCCCCACTTCATTACCCTTCACAGATGAGTAATCCTAATGTTGCGATGTCTATGAGTTTTGTCACTACTTAAGATACACAGCACCAAATCCAATCGAAAGGCGATCACTGAACAACGTGTCTCTAAAGGCTGTCTCGCATGTTTCTCACCAGCAAACTTATGAAATTCCAACTAGATTCTTCCGCCAGAGATGCCAAGCTGGCAATGTTCTTAGATTTATCGAAGAAGCAAGCACTTACTACCCGAAAACTATAGTTGTTCACTGGCGAAGGAGACAAACTCAATCGAGGCTGACACGCGTTCATCGAGACGATGGTGATGCAATCGTCGTCGTCACTGCCATAACAACGATTTCGTTCACGACGGCAAGTTCATGTGGTTACAATTAATATCAGAGTCGTCGTTTTCCTTAACGTATGATCACTATACGATAGTTGGTATTGTTTCGCGGTTCGTTATCTATGTTGCATTACCGAGCGTCAACCGGATTGCCGCCACCTGGTCGGTGGACCGTTGAACAGTGCTTACTCCTGATGCGAACCGCTCCCAGAGCAATAGCGAACAGGTGAGTTTCCTGCCTGTCGTCGATGCCTGGGGCGGCCAGAAAGGAATGGGGCGAGCTAGGAGACGCAAGCCAGCTACGATCACCACCCGCGCTGACGCATCAGCGTTGGTAATGGGCTGCCGGTGGCATCAGTGAGTTGTACTAACTAGACACTGGAACGCCGGCCAGCGGCGAACTGTCTACCCGACAACGAGCGAACGGCTTATCTACCTCTTGCACCCTGGGCACTGGACCGCGTGGCAGCGGCAGCGAAGGCTTTCTCGTGGTAGGAGGGGGTGCAAAGAAGTATGAGAAGAAGAAGAAATTGAAGAAAAAACCGTTGAAGGAAAGCGAATAAGATATATCGGATCTATCCAATTCCCTCTCTTCTCCTTGTCCCGTCTTGTGGACCACGAGCGCGAAGTCCGCAAAGTCCGAACGTCAAGACGTTTTAGCGTCAGCGAACGAACCACCGCGCTAAGTACGTCGATAGAAAGCGAGCCGGCTGCCTCCAAAACAGCACCAGCGACAAAAGGCAACAGGAACCGTTGCCACGGCTGCAACCGTTAAGAAGTGTTAAGCGAGACCTATGCGAGTAAAAAGCGCCGCGCGAGTGAAGTAGAGTTTTGTCTACCACTGCCATCACAATCAGCATCAACAGATACAGCGGCAGCAGCGGTGGCGGCAGCCGGCCAATTGGCCAGCGGTCGGCTGGCCGACAAGCAAATAGACAACGATGCCACCAGCAACTGCAGCATCACGAGTTGTGCTATCCAGCGCCAGCGGTGCTAGCACCGCTACCCCTTTCGTTCCACCATGTTGCCATTGAGGGGGGAGGGGATCTAAGTTATGAAGGAGGACGAAGTTGCCGTGCCTGATGAAGTTGGGTTAATAATGGTGAGCCATTATTGCTATGATGCTGCTGCTGCTGTTCATGCTGATGCTGTGAATGACTGTTATTGTAGGGCCCAGCAATAAAAAGCTAACGACGGAGGGAGATGGATGAGATTGTGCCATGAGCGACGCCGTAACGTTTGCTAGCGTCAATCAACCAGAGCAAAGTAAGTGCATTTGTGAATGAACAGATAAATAGAATGGACTTGATTCCGCTTTCTCCATCAAGTGTCAATCGAACCAGGTTTGCAGTTCTGCAAAGCAAGAATAAACTTCGATTTCAAGTGAACCTTACCAGTTCATTTGCGAACGTTAGATGCGTCGTTGTTGATTCTTTCGTTCGCTTGCCTCTCTTGATAACTTTTCGGCTGCAGTTTAGCGTCCGACCGACTCAGATACTTCGTCATCATTCTTTCACGTACTTGTTCTCATTTATGGATTCCGTTTTTTCATTGTACACGTCACTACTGTTTGATGCCTGTCGATCTGTCTATCTATATATATATATATATATATAGATAGACAGATCAACAGGCATCAAATGTATATATATATGTGCTTGCTTCTTGTCGTTGTACACATTTTTTGGAGCAAAGGCGTTGACTCTTCGTAGGACTGATAGAGCATTCGACCTGATAGCGCTAAATCGCATCATGCCCTTATATTTCGAGCTAAAATTAGATTTTCAACTTGCTTAAAGCTCAGAGAATCGTGTCGTAAACAGGAAATCTAACGGAAACTCTTTTAACGCATATATACAGAGACCTGTAAAGATGCATATTCAAGCGTGAGAGTACTACAAGGTAAGCAAACTTTACAATCACAATACAACATTTCAACAAAATTCTATTTCACCGTTTTCCTCCATTTAGTCAACAGTCATCAAGCCCAGTCAGCTAAATGTCGTATATGCAATCGATGCCCCTTGTAACTGTTTATCTATACCGGCACTGAATGCGCATCATTACACCAGTCAACGACGCAGTCAAAACCTCTCAGTATCCAACTTTAAATCCCATGGCATTATCTAGCAGCTGGCGCTCGCCGTCTACAGCATCCGGTTTTTTTTTACAGACTCTCGCATAGGCCGTTGAGCCTGCCCGATGTTCCATGTTTGGCGGGGAGCCGTGCTTTTAATTAGCAACAAAAACATTACCAGAAATAACACGGAGAATATCAAGAACCAGTATATGTTTAGTACTGGCCCAAAGCAACAGCATGGATTGATAGAGACTATTGCACGTAACGCACGTATAAATTTTTGCCCCGATAATGTCTTCCGGCCCTTTTATCAAAATAAAACTGCCGCGTATGTGAAATAGCTGCTATTGTTTTGCTGTAACACATAGACGTTACAGCGCACAGTTTACCAGACAAAGGGGCCGGCCAAAATGTCCGAACTAACAATAACTCGTAACCGACGCTAAAGAAGAAGCCTGCATTTTAGCTCAACTAATCGTATCGCAACGCGGACATGAAAGCAAAGATCTTCAGTCGTTGAACGTTGCAAGTTTAAGCAGTTTCGACGTTGGATGATGGCTAATATCGGTAGAATACAATGTTTACTACCAACGGGAGTATATTCTATGACCGGCCAATTTCATAACAATCTTCGTTCGTCTACTCGAAGTAAGTTCGAGTTGATGGCGGAATGTTTTTATACGGGGCCGTCATTAAGTAAGTCAGGATGTTTTTGATCGATAAGCTAGAATCGTGGAGAAAATAATAGCAGCCATAACAAATCACCTTTGCTTGATTTATCATAGTGAGAATGACGTTGAAACGATCGACAATGATACGACGACAATGGTGGTGCAGGTATTTTGACTATTCCCGTTATAAAAAATATAAAAACGCAATCAACTGGCACCTTGTTTCACTTTCTAGCCATTACGTCTTCATTGATTTTGCCCTTGTTGGTTTTATTATAGATGATTTTTCTTATAAATTTTAAAAAACCTGTAAAGATAGATCTTGATGAAGGTCAAATGTGAGTTCGTCTTGCTTGAACTGCCTTCGCCCTTGCGTCCCTCCTAAACCGAATGCAGCAAAATCATAGTTCGCAAACAAAACTTAAAATTTCACCGACGCTGCGTATTTGATTAATTTTCCTGGTAGATACATGTTGTACAGAGGAAGAACTTTATAATAAGGCGACAAAATATAATGCTCATTCTTCCCAGCCTTTTATTTCATTCCAGACAGATGAGGGCTTACCTAGTTCATTTGTGGCAACCCCAAGTTGGACATTATTTTTCTAGCACACGACATGATTTCATATATTCTGCGGGGTAGGCACATCATCTTCTAAAGCAACGATGCGTTATCCGGGAAAGATCGACTGATCGAGTGCTTTTGCGAATATATGACAAAGTTCGCGTTGTTAAAAGGCAAACACAATCCTGTTTAAAGACGAGAACACATGGAGCCTGTAGAATAAAACTAATACATAGAACGAAAAGATGGGACGATGAATAAGCGTTATAGAAATATCTTAGAAGAAAAAAGTAGAATATTTGAGTCATTTTTATGGCGACTGAGATCATACTGACATTTGTTGAAGTTTCAACTTATCACTACTACAGCACTTACTCTATCAACAATAGGATACCCGCTTCGTCCCCTGACCGATGAATTCTCATATTCCATCGACGATCGTTATGTCGCACTTGCTTGAAAAATAAAAAAAAAAAACATCTACATGAAACGATTTATGCACCAAACGTGTACCAGTTATTCAAAGCTTAATGTAATCTATCACTTCAGTTATAAGGAAAACGGTGTATTCATAGTTTTTTTTTTTTTTTTCATTTACTAACTGTATTATGGCTGCACAAAGAGGATGTAATCCTGACGTTTCTTCCTGTCCACATAATTCAGGTAAATCAATTATGGTCTGAGGCAAAAAAACAGTAACAAGACAACCGAGCAACTGGGAACTACTAAGTAAAGAAACAACTTATTACTACTACTTAGAATTTTATTCAGGTTTCGAATAATCCGAGTTACTCTGTTTTCTAAGTGATTTTAGCAGTAACAAACACATCGAGAGAAAGAGAGAACTCGATGCATCATTAAACCTCGCTCTTTTTAACCGTCGCATTCACAAATGAAAAGGAAATACACACACAGGCACTTCAGTTATTCGCTGTTGACGCTACATTGATAAACAAAAAAAAAAAACGCGCTACTATAAATAGAAACGAGGAAAAGGAAATAAAAAACCGAACGATACTAATTATACCTATTATTAATATTGCTCAACAACCGAACCTGGTTACTAGATGAATAATACCCCGGTTGTTGTGGGCGCGCGTTCGGAAGCTTGCCGGCGCTGACGTCGGCACCGCTCAACGCCGCTGATCACGTTGAGTTGGCATTTGTTTGGCGTAAGATTTATAACGGAAAGTTAACCCGTGCTTATTTTTGAAGTTGCGACTGCACGCTTTTAATTGGAAGATGTGACGGGAGGAAGGGAGTGAGACTATGTAAATCCGGTCCGCAACACCGGCTTCCATGCATACCCTAATCTGGTCAAAGTAGACGTGATGAGAGGTCAAGACGCACCCCTCACTGTCAGTAGGTTGGTGCGGCTAGGAAGACTAACCACCACTAGAAACCGCGATAATAATTAGCGGGCTAGTTAAAACTACGTAAACCTTTAATAATGCAGTATTGTTTATTATGGCGACTGCGCTGGCAGCTCCTAAGCGATTTACGTGCTCCGTATAGGGTAACACTGAATTGAGCAGGGTAAATAGCTATATTATTCATCCGCTAACGTAAACATAATTTACATGAAAACTAGCTTACCGAGCAAAATATCCATCCCAAGACATCGTTAGTCAACTGGAAGTTAAGGAACTTTTTTAAAGCATGAATCCGTTATTAGGCTGAATTTTAAATCATATAGGATTGCATTCTAATCTGGTAATGGGACACGGCGATATATCGAACCTGACACAGGATCGCCAACTATTTTCTGTAGCAGCTATCGAATTATGTTTATCTTGCCCACCCCCAGATGGCGTTACTGTAGCAGATCCGCGGCAGAGTAATGGTTATTACCGTACTAAATAAATGTTTTCAATTTACTGCTCTTGCTTTAGGTAGATGGCCTCCAGCATGCGTCTACAAGACACGACGGCTACTATATTGCTAAACACGAACAAGTATATATAGATAGACATTATCTGGCGCTTTAATTTTGTTGCTACTGCTTTGATCTTTATTACTATCATAGATCTTATTGCGGTTGCTGCTGTTGTCGCCGTCACTGCAGTTATGCCATCACCAGGCGGGCCTTTTGTTT